AAAAAAAAAAAAAAGAAAAAGAGATATCTGTAATATGAAATCCTGCCACTCACCCATGCAGCATTTTCCCCATTCAAATCGCGACTGCCATACAGGAGAAATATTTCCAACGTGGTACTCTATTCACGAGATAAGCAGAGAGTCGATGATATAATAAATCGAGCCTGGTTTCGAAGAAGCCGGCAATCCAAAATGGCCCGAAGGAAAAGAGAGAGAGAGAGAGAGAAAGAGAGAGAGAGAGAGAGAGAGAGAGGAAAAAAGATGGGCGCAGTGGAAATCCGTAGAGTCGAATATTCGGGGTCGGAGGGAAGGTTTGCTCCGAGTCAGCTCGGGGATCGTCAGCGTCTAGACGCGCTCAGCCGTTTCGCGATCTTAACGTATCCAACACACGCGCGGGTACACACTTTTATTCGGTGGCTTAACCGGTCGACGATTCACCGTCTCTAGTTCCTACGAAAATGGGCCGTTTAGGGCGGTCGAGAAGCCGCCGTCGTTGAACTCGGTATCGCGTGCACGCCGGAGAAAACTGCACCTCGTGCGTGGAAAGTGCACTTTAAGTGCCGCCCGCCAAGCTGATTCGCCAGCTTTGCTTAAAGTGTCTCTGTTTCGCTGACTCGGACATGTTGTTCCGTACTGGCCGTCTGCACGTTCCGTGCATCCAGATAACACCCGTCGATTCACTAACCTACCTCACTTCTCCGCTACAGGGTGGTCCAAAATCTGCTCGCTCTACCTCCTCCGTCTTCCGTCCATCGTTGCTCGTTTCGACGCTCTCTCCGCCGCCAGAGCCAGCCGCTCGTTGCCCGATCTTTACCCACTCGCCGCTCCGCTTCGCTGCAATTTTTCCTTTTCCGTTCTTCTTCCTTTTCTTCCCCCTTTCTCCCTTTCTTCCCCGCGCTAACCGCGAGAAATGACACGCCGCGTAATTCGGACTGCGCAAAGTGTACGAGGAAAAATGGAATTTACGTGGCGACCTAGTAAGAACGGAGACTTTGTTCGTTAATCGAATAAAACGTCGCGTTAATCGTCGTTCTCGACGTTATCGCTCGATGTCGTAACATCGATTTCGCTAATCGTCGCCAGCCGTATCGTGTCGACCCAGAGATCCCATCTATCTGGACCACGCGAGACGTTCGTTTTTCCATTTCTTTCGGATTGCACGCGTCCACGTCGTCCACGTCGTCCACGTTCACGTCGTGGTCGTGGTCGTGGTCGTCTGCGTCGGTGCATTGTTATCGTGCGCTGGCTGCACCGGGTGCAACATAGATACGCGCGTAGATTTCGTTGTTTGTTTTCGACTGTTTATCGATAACGCTATTATTTTGGCGAGAAACGATGGACCGCGTAGGCGCGGGAATAAAGACGACTTATTTGCGAAGCGAGCGGTGCATTTCGCGTGTCAATGACACGTTAAAAAACACACCGATACGATTTAACTACGAACTCGCTTTATCTCTCGTTTCGAGCATTTCTTCGCGCGAAACGATAGCGATACTAGATTACGGGTGAAAGATACTCTCGAATCGGTTAAAAAAGTTCGACTTATCGATAATCTTATTGAAAACTCTCTATTTCGAGCCGGGTGTACGTCGCGATCGAACGATCGAACGATCGATGGCGAGATAATTAATTCGAGCAGGTGAAAAAGGAAACCGCGCCGGTGTTTTCGTCTGCTCGTTTTTCCCGAAATCCGAGACGGGAGGTGCTTATCGGTGCGCGTCTACCCGCCAAAATATCCGCGTTATCTGACAGTGGCTCACGAGTATTCACGTGTTCGCCTCTTGATAAGATTGCATTATTTCGACGGGACCGTGCTCGAATTAATTACACCGCGAATAAAGACGCCCCCGCCGGCGTCCCGACCAGCGATGCATGCCGAGCAGCAGCAGCAGCAGCAGCGGCGATCGCCGTCGTCGTAAGCCAGATTAATGGAATTCTATCGAGACCAGACGTGCGCGTCATTGGCCACGTGTCCGAGAGACGACCTTATCGATACGCTATTTCGGCGGTGATAACGTCATTCGCCGCGCACCGTGCGTCCACCGTGTGTCTACCCGTGTCTGCCGTGTCTGCCGTGTCTGCCGTGTCTGCCGTCGAGTTCCGTCGACGGTCCACGGTCGACGATCCACCGCGTCAGCCGTTGCTCGGTAATCGTCGATTCCGTTGCATCGCGATAAACTCGCGCGACGCTGCCCGCGAGCGATCGGCTCGCTTTCGTCTTCTTCCACCGGAGATCCGAGCATCGATTCTCGCCGCGATCCTCATCCACGCTCCAAACCGACCTACGTTCGCGTGACTCGCGTCCAGCGAGTTGCGGTAGCTCTGACATCTTGGACTTTTATTTGCGTCGGATCTTGTTACATTCGGCGTGTACACGGGAATAGGGGAATAATATACGTGGCCGTGTGTGGAATTGCGTTGCGCCGAGGCGTCGCGTCGCCTACACACGCGGCTATCCGCCTTGGCGCGCGCTCCCCAACCGTACCGCGTTTCCGTGGAAAACAACGAATGGACGAAAACGTTCGATGGACCCTCCCGTGACGATCAGCTTTCCCGGGGATGCTAACCTTCGTCTCTGCTCGTAACGCCTCGTCTCGCCTCGCTTCGCCTCGCCACGCGAGAGCAAGAAGAAACTTTGGTGTCCGTCTGTGTTTATTCCGTTTGCTCGTACACGTCGGCGAATCGTCTCCCACGCGGTCTTCGGTCTTCCTCGCCGTTACTTAATCGATCGGAGAACCGCTTTCCCGTTCGCCTCGCACGATCCGAAAATAAATCGTCTTCCATCAAATATCCGGGGGACTCTCTCGGACTTGCACGAGCGATCGCAACCTAGCCGAGAGATGTTATCGGTCGATGAAATTTCAAATGTCGAAAAAAAGACTGCTCTTCCGCTAGTCGAGGCGCGTTGCTGGAAGCGTTACGAAATTCATCGTAGTCACCGTGGAGAAAATCGAGCAACGTCGCCGTCGATCGCGAAATCGAGATAACGTTTTCCTCCGCGTAGGCTCGCGTTCTTCCTCTTTCGCGATACGGCCGCAGATTCGTAATTGAAATTTCGTCCCGCCGATCTCTCCGTCACCCACCTATCGCGTACGTACGCGCGAGGTAAAAGGCACACCGCGAATCCCTAATAATTACGTTACATTCACGAAATTCCATCTCCGGTTAACATTCGCGTCTCCACGCCGATGCGTAACGACGCGCGCGTCTACCAGTACCTACGCGTATCGGGCAAAAGTTGCACGAAACGCACCGGCCCCGGGTTTAAATCTCGTCGAGCTTTATCTGGCACACGGACAGACGAGCGCGCGCCGCTGTCTCTCGCCGTCTCTCGCCGTCTCTCGCCGTCTCTCGCCGTCTCTCGCTGTCTTTCGTTGTTTTGACGCGTAGAATCGACGTGGCAAAAATGTTGCCCGATATTTATTAACACCCTGTATATCTGCGACGATCGTCTAGACGTCGCAGTTCTGTTTGTTCTCGAGAGGGTCCCCGATCGCGCCTTAAATTCAGCTTTATCTCGTCGCTCTCTCGGCTTTCCCTCTCTCTTTCTTCGTCGGTTTCTCGGCGTCTCGGTCGGTTCCCGTCGAATGTCGCGCATGAATCGACCGATAGCAGCTGGCCTCGCTCACACGTCTAAACGGGGTAAACGAACTCTTTGTACCGTTGAGTGGGGCACCGAATTGCGAGCCCAAAGTGCATCCGACGATAACGCAGCCCGATATTATGCTCGTTTCGCAGTGACACGCGCGGTTCCTCGAAAACTTTCTGCCCCGCGTTCTTTTCACCGTCGCTAATCTCGCATTTCTCCGTTTCTTTTTTTCCTCTCCGCTCCTCTCTTTCCCAACCGTCCGGCTCGTTAGCCCGATTTCCTCCATTCGACGCGACGAAAATTTCGCTGCCCGCCGCGGAAAAGATGGAACGAACGAAAATTTACACGTTTATCGGGACACGCTGTATTTTCTTTTCGCTTTTTATTTTCCTTTTTTCGATCCCCGAAATTCGACGAGACCTCGTCGAAACGCGATACTAATGGAGCGTCGAAAACGAAATGAGTTTTATAAGCTATCCG